AGGGGCTCAGGCAGCCCCTCATGCTGCACATGGCATGTGTATCTCTGTTCCTCCCCAGAAGGCACCACCACAGCTGCCCACTTCTGGAAGCTTCCATCTCCTGCAGGCCTGGTCTCCACCAGCTCCATTTCCTGGGTCTGTTCCTCTCCATCCCGCAGCCAGGTCAGGGTGATCTCCGCAGGGTAGAAGCCCAGCGCCCAGCACCTCAGGGTCATCTTATGTTCAGAGGTGGGGTGGAGGGTGATGTGTGCCTTTGGGGGATCTGAGAAGAACCCAGAAATTCAGATGCATCTCCTTGCCTCCCATGGACCACCGTGCAGGTCAGTTGACCATGTTGAGGATACACAGCACAGCAAGTGGGGGCAGGGATGGATGATCCAGGGTGGAACTAGGCTTCTGGAATCAACTCTAAACCTGGTAGGGTCCTACACTCAGCTGAGATCACCATGGCCAGAAGCACCTGATCTCTCAGGGGTCACTGTGCTCTATCCTGGGTGAAGATAAGAGACACTTTCTCCAAAGCACTGGAAGAGACTTCTAGCCATAATAGGTCCTAGTTGAGGACAAATGTTGAGAGCCTCCTGGTGCTGCCTGAGTGGAAGGGGCCAGCTGCACACTTGTTTCTGGGCAGTCTTCATCTCCATGTGTCGAGTGGGGGGGGTGAAGAGGGGGAGGTGGATAGTGTGTGTGTGTTTCACTGTCGTGAGGTCAAGGTGGATTCCAGAGCCACTGTGTGACACAGCATGTGAAAGGCAGGGGCTCATGGTGCTCTGGGCAGGGGAAGGGGTGTGGTGGGCAGGGGAAGGGGTGTGGTGGGCAGGGGAAGGGGTGTGGTGGGCAGGGGAAGGGGTGTGGTGGGCTGGGTCCCTTTTCCTCTCTGGCTGTGGGAGTGGAGGGGGACTTCCACAGGAGATGGAGGAGTCCCGGGCCCTGGTACCTGTGCGCTGCAGCGTCTCCTTGCCGTGTTCCAGGTATCTGCGCAGCCACTCCACGCACGTGTGCTCCAGGTAGGCCCTGTGGCGCTCTGCCACACCGGCCTCCTCCCACTTTCGCCTGGTGATCTGAGCCGCCATGTCCGCCGCGGTCCAGGAGCTCAAGTCCTCGTTCAGGGCGATGTAGTCCTGGCCATCGTAGGCGTCCTGACGGTACCCGCGGAGGAGACGTCCGTCTGCGCTCACGTCGCAGCCATACATGCTCTGGATGATGTGAGAAGCTGCCCCGTCCCCACGGTCAGCCCGCGCCCCGCGGGGACTTTGGCCTACACGGAGAGGACACCGGCCCCACCCCGCGGCTCTTTCCCGGGGTGCCGGTCCCCCCGCAGCGCCCGCAGCCTGGGCTGAACCTCAGTCCTGAGACCCCGGGGGCTCGGGCTGCTCAGCGGGAGGCGGGGAGGGGTCGTGACCTCCGACCCGGCGGCGTCGCTCACCGTCCGCGCTCTGGTTGTAGTAGCCGAGCAGATTCTGTAGGCTC